TGTGAGGATAAATCAAGGTGAGGCTGCTGCTGCGGTAATTTGTAAGTCGCGTGGGGACCACCACGATAAGTAGCAGACAATATTTCTCCATTCACGATACTGCCGATCCGCCGCGACCCGTGTGGACCCCAGACAATAAGCATAAATAACATAAACATGGAATATGAAAGATGGAATGTGGAATGACAGATGTAATAGACAGTGAGTGGACTGTATGACAGGAGGACTTCTGTCTCCCTGTACTCTCTCTCTCTCACGCTGCCAATCTCGCAGTTCCTCTTCTCTTCCTCTCCCCAGTTCCTCGTCCTCGTCCTCGCTCTCGGCCTCTGCTGATTAATGCTTGTTTGTTTGCATGACCGTGTATCACTAATGGAATTCACATGTTGGGACATGACTGATTATGTACACATTAGTCGACTGATTTGCAATTCCAAGTGTGCCCGTATCCCGTATCCCGTGTCCATCTATGACTGTGTGTGTGCGGGTGTGTGTGTCAGTCATGATGTCCTGCCGGGGCGCAACTTTTCCACTATAGCCTAGAAAACTATGTTGCAAGTCGTATTATGTATCTGCGGGCCTCCATTGGCAAATGTCAGATGGTCTCTGTGTGTATTTGGCACGTGTCCTGTCGCCACTGTTCAGCAACTGTGCCTATGTGCCTACTGTAAAAGGTCCTGCCATGACTAAGCACATTATAGAGGCTGTTACCACCGAGTCGTCGCGCTAATTGGCAGCCGCTTTTGTGTTGCGCTGCCTGCCGTCTGCTAAAGCAATTTTGCGTGCTCGATAATTTGCTTAAGGCGATACAGATACTTGTACAAAAGCAGGTGGCACTTGGCAGTTGGCAGTTGGCTCCCGCACAGGAGCTGTGTGTGTGCATGCTGCATGGCCGTGGGGCTCGAAGAGTGCTCGTGGCAAGTGCAGCAGCTCCTTTTTAAATTGCTTAATAAACATGCACAAAAGGAAAATGCACTAACTGCGGGGTTTGTTTAGCAAATTGACTGTTGCCTGAAAGGGCTCTCCTGCATGCCACTTCCGTGCGCACAAAACAATGAGAGTCGGTGCAGGCGACAAATACCAGCCAATAGTCAGAATTGCAGAGTATTCAAAACCCATTAAAAGTTAAAACAAAATACACGTAATATATTTGATTGAATTTGTATGGTCTTTAAATGGTATTTACCAAATCGTTCAGAAATAGTTGCCTTGTGTTTTGATGTTGTTCATTGACTGTCGGGCTGTCTTCAAAAATTTACAGTGTATCTATACTTATATTACCTAAATTTTTATTTCATTTCACCAGCATGATAGATCCTAAGACTCATGTACGGCTACCACGTAGATCAAAAAGGTCATCGAGTCGAGTCTACCCTGGCTCTGATGAGGAGTTGAAAGTCTCCCACCCAGAGGCATGTCGTTGCGAACACTGTCTGATCAAGAATCGTCCCAAATGGACCGACGAAGACAATTTGCGAGCCTCAGCGATGCATCGACAGGTGGACGCTGCCATCGAGAAAAATTTCGATGAAGCCTTAGCCGACCTAGAGGATTTTGTACGTCTGAAATCAGTCTCTGCGGATGTGGAGTGTATTACTGAAAGTCTGAAGGCCCTGTGCATGTATCGGGACCGTCTGGAGAGGATGAGATTCACTATCTATGAGTACAACATCAACATTCCCCGTGCTATTTGTGACACCTCACCCCATCCAAAAGTCATTTTCGCCCACTACTTTTCTTCACCCACGAAGAACACAGTTCTGGTCTACGCGTACCTAGACGTTGCTCCGGCGAAGTTTGAGGATGGCTGGCTCTCCGAGCCCTTTGAGTTTTACATGAACGACGACATGCTGTACGGGCGGGGAGTCTCCACGGGAAAGGGCATGGCAGTGTGCTGGCTACAGGCCATCGAGACCTGGTTGGAACAGCACGGCGATCTTCCGATAAATGTCAAATTCATTGTGGAGATCATGCACGCAGTGGGCAGTGTCGGGCTCCAGCACTATATAGAAGTGAAGAGAGAGTTTTTTCAGGACGTTGATTGTATTGTGTTCGGTAACAACTCCTGGATAAACGACGAGAGGCCACTGATGAGCTGCAGCCTGACCGGCTGGGCTCACTTCGGCCTGGAGATGCGTGGCGGAGCGAAAAGCATTGAAGGGGCATCGGGAGGGCTCGTATATGAGCCAATGACGGATGTGTGCACTCTGATGAACAGCCTTGTCGACAATCTGCATGTGATTCAGATACCCGCGATCCAAAACATGGTGAGACCCACTGCCGTAACGGAGTGGACCCTTCTCGAGTCTGCGATTTTCAGTGAATATGCCTACAAAGACCAGTTCGGCATCAGGCGCCTCAGATATGAACTGACGAAGGCAGAGCTGCTGCATAATCGCTGGTGCCAGGGCACCATGACTATGCACGGAATCGAGGGCTGTTTCAGCCGGAAGGGTTCATGTACGGCGCTGCCAATGTCTGTGATGGGCAAGTTTTCCATTAAACTTCTTCCCGATCAAATGGTAAACCTTGTCCAGACCCACGTCGAAGAGTTTCTGCATACGCAGTACGAAGATCTGAAGATTCGGACCACCTTTAAGATCCATCTGTTGGATGCGTGTGATCCTTATTCGTGGGGCATCGATGCCAGATACAGTAAGGCCCTCGTTCGATCCATCAGCCGTGTCTACCAAGTGGAGCCAGATCTATCGATGAACATTGTGACCTGCCTTCCGATCGCCAGCACTTTCCATAAGATTACCGGCAAGCCCATCATCCTGATACCCTATGCCCAGCGCATGGACTACTCTCACGTGGTCAACGAGTCCATCCCCAAACAGTGTTTCCTTCGCAATATCAAAGTTTGCACGGGACTGATGCTTGAGATGTCGCTGCTGCCAGCACGGTGCAAGTGCGATGTCATTTTCGAGTACTGCAATCGGAGAGGCATAGCGGAGATGCTAAAACCGCCCGTGCAATCTACGCAGAAGCACAGTGTATTTTCCAATATGAGAAGGACCAAATCCATGAAACCTCTGAACAAGCATCCAGAGGAGCACGAAACAAGTAAACGGAAAAGGTTGAAGGATTGGCTGTGTGCCCCCTTTAGGCGCCATAGGAACTATCACTACATTTTCTCCCCAAAGTAATCGTATCCACGGAAATTCTTGTGAAAATTCATACATTCTACTTTTAAATAAAAGCATACATATGTGCATATTGAAACTATCTAAGCTACATGTACCTATCGCTTCCGATTACTATCCCCGGTTTCCATAGTAGCAAAGTATTTGGAGAGAAAACTGACATAAGAGAGATTGAAATTACCGATTTTTATACCCGATACTCAAAATGAGTATTAGGGTATATTAGATTTGTGGTGGAAATGGATGTGTGTAACGTCCAGAAGGAATCGTTTCCGACCCCATAATGTATATACATATATTCTTGATCAGCATCAATAGCCGAGTCGATAGAGCCATGACTGTCTGTCCGTCCCTATGAGCGCCTAGCGCTCAAAGACTATACGAGCTAGAGCAACGACATTTTATATCCAGACTTTTGTAATATATCACTGTTACAAGTATATTTCAAAACTCCGCCCCGCCCCCGCTCCCACAAAGAACGAAAATCTGTGGCAACAACAATATTGAATATATGTACGAGTAAATTAAAAACGCACAATAGAGAATGACCAAATTTATCAGATTGCCGAATCTGGATCATTCAAACTGATTTTGTGTCTCTCACGCACGCAATCTTAGCCGTTCAATGGCAGCGCCGTCTGCCGGAGGAGAGCCATACTGACTAAGTATCGGGTGTAAGTGTAGAGTTGCGGTCTCGGCAGCAACTCACAACGTTCGCCCTCGTTTGCGTATACACATTACACTGTACTATACAGTATACTCGTTAAGATTGAAGATTTTTGTTGTCGCCTGGCTCAGATCCAGATTTTGGTGCGACTAGAAATGCGACTGCATATGCAAAACTATACAAAGCGTGACTGAAGCTTCCTGCAGCGTCGCTTCCGGTTTAATTGAGCATGTAACGAGCTTTTGGCTTAAACCTGCACACACATACACACACTTGTATTGGCAGTGCCAAAGATATGTACACACATAACGGGAGAACAGGAGACAGAACACCGAAACTGTGGCAAGGTGACAAGGTGGCATCCCCACAATAATCTACATTTTCCGAAAACATCGCTCTGCGAGTCTGTGGTATGCGTGTGTGTGTGCATTTGGGGGGGGGTGAGGAGTTATAGTGTATGTTTTGTCTATGTTTATGTTTGCTGCCACAAGTATCTCCATGCCCCTGAAGGCCTGGACACGCACGCAGTTTGTGTTTGGGCAGGTCCAACATTCGGTGGCTGTGGGAGGCGCTGCTGATGCAACTGCCCGCGGGCACAGTCAGCTAATTGCCATACAACCCACTCCCCCCTCCCAAAGTCTAATCCGACAAACCAAAAAAAAAAAGAAAAGAGAGAACGGAATTTGTTTAGAAATGGCAACCGTGTTCTCCGTTCCGTTTTCTCCTCCGCAAAGCGGAAATCAATCAATTTCCTGCGTAGACTCTGCCTCTCTCTCCTTTGGTTCGATTTTTTGCTCTCATCGAGCACCTTTTGTCCACAACTGAAAAGGAATTGTATTGAATAGTTGAGCAGGTGAATGCGGACATTGATTATGCTGGGAGGAGTGCAATGGGTGGGTGGGTGGTCTGTTGAATATTGTTATAAAATTTAATTAAAATTGTTTAGCGCATTGCGAGGAATGTAGAATGCGGTAGCGGCTTTTAGAGGCATTCGTTTTTCAAATATTCATTTTAGAGAAGCCATAATATTTATGGCACAAAAGCCAGACAGTCTTTACTCACGTCCAACTGCAATATGCGCAATATGATTTATTTTCTGCTCTTTAGGAAAACCATGTACCCCAATCAAGCTCTGCCTCGTAAAATATGGGAATGATTTTCAAGCGAAAAAATAATTAGAAACCGGCAAGTGCTCGTTCTTAGTCATTATTATTAAAAACAACTAAAAATAGACGTATTTATGTACGATTCGCTTGGATCGCCGTAGCTTTATTGCTGATCAATGCCCCGAGGGGCTCCTGGACTTCCGGGCAGTCCTGGGAATCCGTTTCCACCCCCACCTCCACCTCCTCCTCCTCCTCCTCCTCCGCCCTTTCCGCCATGTCCACCATTTTTACCGCCTCCATGACCTCCTTGTCCGCCATATTTGCTCCCTCCAAGGGCACCACAGCAAGGACAACGGGATTGAACAGATGCACCTGGCCTTCCATTTCTTCCAGTTACAGTTATAGATCCAGGCTGCCTGTCAGATCCTTGTGATCCACTAAAGACGCTTATGGGTGGGCCTTCAACATCGCGTCGTTGCGCTAGGCCTAAAGAACACACAGCTTGGGCTTGAAGTTGAAGAACAACGCGGTCACCTACCTTACCTCCATCCAGCCAGACCAGAAAACAAACGAAAGCGAAGACGTACAGAGTCCCCATCTCGGCAGCACACTAATCCGTCCAGCGGCGTTGCAATCCGATTATATCGTGGAGAATGAACTTCACTGCGCTGCGCTTCGCTTGGAGTCTCTCTTGTCACAATTGAGCGGCCCCCCCACAGCCGAAACCCACCACACCTGGGAAAACACTCACCTTATTCTGATAGAGCACCTCAACGGCCAAAAATCCGATCAGGCCCAGTGTGAGTATAAGCAGCATGATGTAGAGTTTCGACTGGATGCACAGCAGGCTGGAGTAGATGAAGCCGAGCACAAATCCGACCGACTCGAACAGGCGATAGTTGGAGAAGGCGGCCTCCTTGTGCCGTCGAAAGAGGAGTCCGTAGAAGGCCTGGATCTGGGTGACCCAAGCGGCGTCACTGATGCCCCAGACTCCGGCTAGAGCATAGAAGACAACGGGATGGTCCGGCACTGGCCGATAATGGAGCTTGAATCCCATTATGATGACGTTCAAGGATGCACCTATAAATATAATCATTGAACGGCCGATGTACTTCATCGCTATGCCAAAAAAGGCGCATGCTAAGGAGTCCATAACCCCCCAAGTGATCATCACATAGCCGATCATGTTGACGCCGAGGGCACAGGCCACAAATCCCTGCGTGTACTCCGCCGCTATCCAGGCCTGCTCCAGCCCGATGAAAACGGTCAGAGGGATGAGCATCTGCTGATTGGTCCGCTTCATCTGGCGAAATGTGGCCAACATATTTCTCAGGACAGTGCTATTCTTGGAATGAGAACCCTTGCGGCCCTCGCCATAGCGAGTGAGCGGATCCAAGAAGAAAACTACCAGGACGACTGCGATCACAAGACACGGTACATAGATCATGATCAGCATGAAGACGTCCTTCGCCAAGGGCTGTGGGATATCCTTGGCATGAAAGCTGCAGTAATTGTGACCGCAGCAGGTGTAGTCAGTGTTGGTATCGTTTCCCGGCTCCTCCTCGGGCGCCTGCAGTGCTGTGGATTTCAGGATGGGTTCGAGTCGGTTAGGGTTTAGGTATCCAAGCCAGCCAAGACGCAGACAGATGACCAGATGACCCGATGACCAGGAAATTTCCGCCGACAGTCGTGAGAATATGTTGGTGTGTGTTGTACAGTGTAGACTGAGAAGAAATCTTACCTTCCTTACCTTACCTTACCTTACCTTACCTTACCTCACCTTCACTTACCTGACTCACTTCGACTGTTGGTAACCGTAACCGTACACCGACGAAGGAGACTGAGAAGAGTCCTAGACAGAGTATCAACTGGATTGCCCTTAGGGGGAGGGGGAGCACTTCTTCGAGGTTACTTCACTGTGAAGGGACCATCCAGGGATTTCTGATTTCTATGGAAACTTCTACGAGGCATCTCCAATATTCGACTTTTCCCAGTTGAAGTATTGACAGCGCAGCAGCTATAAAATATTTGCTTATTTTTTGAACACAAATTTCATGGCACAGTTTTAATAAATACTAAAAAGCGAGCCATGATGAGCTGCCCAAGCACAAAAGCCATCCCATCATCCCAGAGCCGCCGTCCCCATAGCCAAGGCTCACTCCTACTCTGAAGCTGACACTGGGGCGGACTCTGAAGCTGAAGCTGACTCTGATGCTGACGCTGACGAGCTGCTGTGCCGTGCATTCCCAATGGATTTGCTCGTGCGTGTCGACAAGAATTTCAATTTGCAAACAATAAATTTGAGCAGCCAGTCGCTCCTTGGAGGAGGATGGCGAACAAAAAAAAAAAAAAAAACAGGAGAACGAAAGAAAAAGCGACTCCAAGCTATGTTTAATAAAGAAGAAATATTTTGCTTTTCACTTTGGCTTCGTGTTGCAAGTGACAGCTCCCTCCCGCTGATGCTGTTGACAATTCCCGCAGTCTGTTCCAAGCTTGACAAATAGAATTAGATGCCGAATTAGGACTAAACATTTTCAATTTGATTTCAGATGTGGCAGGCTGGCTGGCAGGCTGGCAGCTCCGAGCTTTAAGCGGCCATCGGCCTTCTGGTCCAGGCAGACGCAGACGCAAACGCAAACGGAAACGCAAAACAAAAGCGGAAATGAATCAATTTCCGTGTTGCAAGCCATTAAAAACTACAAAGCAGTCGAAAGAGCAAGATGAAATAAAGTAACACAACACAACAAACGAAGATGGAACTGGTACTGGAGCTGGAGCTGGAGCTGGAAGTGGAGAGGAGTGGAGTGGAGCAGCAGAGCTACATAATGTTCTTTGTGTTAGTTTGCCATGTCGCATGACTTATGGAAAGAAGAGTTTCTAAAATTGAATGCATTTTTTTTATATTTCAAAGAGAGTTTCGCAATTGAAAAGACTATAGTTGATTTCTGGATGGAATAGTAATGTACAGGCCTTCTAATGGAGTCCTTCCCAGTGGTAGATGGTATTTGTAAGTGCGCTAAGCAAACAATATACGTATCCACTGGCTGGGATCCATGGCATTTTTCACGATCAAAAATAGGCCAGAATCCTTGACATTCTCATCAGGCGCGTTCGACAAGTTCGTGTAGATGGTAAAAATCACAAATATGAACCCAAACTCAATAACTAGAAGGTGGAAACCAATTGGATAATAACTTAAACAAGTCTTCAATATCCACACAAATTACTCATGGTCAGCAGAGAGATAATAATGTTGGTCAGGGCCTCAATGGCGTCGCCCGCACACAGCTCGATGCACCACCAAAGCACAAAGAAAACATCCAGGAATATGCCACCGACGCACCAAACCAGCCAGCATATCATTAGCTCCGGCTTGTGCTGTGAATGGAGGGAGCGACACGGGGGATAGTTGAAGATATTCCAGAATGCACTCACCCATGTAATGCCTGCTATCATAAGGAATGTCACCACAATCCAAACATTCAATAGAAACAAATATGCCCAGAATACCCAAGTCTTTGTTGAATCCTTCAAGTATCTGGGGCCAAATAATCCTAGTGGGAGCAGGAAGAGCAGAAAGAAGGCGAATTACTTACGGGCTTGGTTGCCATTTACTTACCTGTCAGGTGCTTTCTTTGTTGCCTAACAACGCCTTCATCTGGCGGCACCTCGGCATCGTTGGGGGCCTCTTGGGCCGCGCGACTACGCATCAAGTAGAAGATCATCAGTTCGAAGACAAGGACTCCCAGAATGTCCATCCAGCCAATGGCCAGCCCAAAGGCATGCAAGGAATTCACCATAGTGCCAGAATCTCTCTTTTCGTCTCCGTCTCCGTTTGTCTATCTATATATCTCACACTCTATGTTTCTCCGGCTGTTGACAAAAAACTGAAACTGGAAGTGAAATGTTTAAAAAGGTTTTTGTAGCACCCTGGGGCGCTCTGGGGGGGGTGGGCTGCTCGTGTGGCCCCCACTTCCTTAAACCGAGTTGCAAATGAGCGCGAAAAAAGTAAATTATATTTGTCAACGGGGATTCTCTCACACTCAGGAAGAGTAATGGCTGTGTGTGCATGTGTGTAGCCGCCGCACGTATTTCATCAGCATGGCATTATGTATATATACATACATACATATAATGTATATGTATAGGAGTATGTCTCATTTTTTCCTTGCATAAATAGATGCGACAACCTCGGCAGCCAAGTCAGCCCAGTCCCAGCCCCGAGCAAGACCGAGACTTGGCTGCTGTTTCCGTTTCCGTTTTGATACCCATGCAGAGGGCAAAGGTATGCTCGGCCAGAGCAATCAAACCTACTTTCCATGGATTGTCAAAAGGTTCGAACTGCTCTCTCTGTTGCTGCTTTCTCCAATTATGCTCAGGCCTGAGAATTCCCTATTGATTTGGGCCTATATCATAGCCATGTTCGATCTGATCTGCGCCTCACTATTTGCCGGGCTCTGTCTCGACACGATCTTCGAGCATGTAAGCATGTCTCCGCATATACAAATACATATATACATATCCTAAGCCGAAACTCTTCTCACAGCTAAGTTGGCTTACCATATTCGCAGTAGTATTTGGCATCTTCTGGGTCTCAATGATTGTTGTGCTCCTCGTTGGCATCTATGCGGTACAGTACGACCACCGATCGGTGGGATCCCAATAATGATAATCGTATTCCGTATTTCCATCCTCGTTTAATAACAGCGCAATCCCAGATGCCTACGTGCCTGGATCCTCTTCTCCGAGGGCGGCATCTTGCTGGAAATGTGTCTGCTTCTGTACGCCTTTTTCAGCCAGAGCACATTCCAAGCGGGCCTGGTCAGGAATGGCCTGTTTCTCATGTCGGGATTGAGTGAGCATCGTGAATGGCGATTAGGCAGATATTTCTAATCATTTCTGTGTGTCTTCCCCCTTTTCAGTTGTGGAGCTTGTTTTCCTGTACACCATCTATCAGTTCTATAAGGCCCTGGCTCGTTGTAAAAGATGCAAACGACCGCTGGAGTCCAACAGCAAGTCCCGATGAGAGTAACCTTGATCTTCCTTTGTTTCAATTACAGTTGAGTTAACGCTTAAACGATTGTATGTTTTATTTAGGGGAACATTTTCTTAGGGTGCTTAAAGCTTCGATTCTCTACAGCTGAATGCCTTTTTCTTGATTTTTCCTCCTTGGCTGCTGCGCAAATTATTTTAAAAGGATTTTGTGTTTAACATTGGCACACGCACGTCTCTGTAGGTGTACCTATCTGTATCCCAGTGTGAGTGAGTGGTCCGCATCCTTAATGTTATATAAACTTAAAGAGCTTTGATCTAGACAAAATAAAAAAAACGCTGCCTCTGCTATACAGCCATACAGTACTGGAAAGATGTTGTGGTGTTCTGCTACGCGGCTTGTTTCAAATATATGTATGTACAGGTATAATAGATCAGCTTCAGATGACCTTAGGGCAATCAATGGCCCAACCTCCTTTCCTAATTGGTGAGGTTAGCGTTGCTCCGCAGCTTTTTCTCTTTAGATAGCTTCTTCTGACGATAATACTCGTAGTCCTCATCTTTGGCTCTAAGCTGTTTCCCGTTTCTCTTTGCCGGTTTCTCGTCAGCCTCTGAGAATTTCGTCTCTGAGTACTTAAGAGATCCACCTCGGGTCCTTAGCTGTGGCTGGGGCTGTGGATTGGGAAATTCAGTCATTTCCAGATACAAGAGATGTATGATATAGACAAAAGTCATTTCCACAGCTGCAAAGAGACATGAGGAATTGTCATAAGATGGAATCAGTTCGATTTGGCCAACTCACCCAAGCCCACAAAAGGCAAGACTGTGATTTTGACGCCATCCCAGTTCACGGAAACGGCTAGGGTCAGGCCATAAATCAGAATAAACCCATCTAGCAATATTCCAAGGCAGGTGAACACCAGCCAGCAACGAATCAAAGCCAACTGGCGCTTGTAGATCCCCACTGCCAGCACGATAATTATAATAATCCAAAATATAGTAAAGATCATTGACACCAGAGAGGTCCAATGGTTCTGGAATTATAATTTTCACCGTAAATTCACCATCACCATCATCATCACCATCATCTTCATGGATGATGACAGTAACCCTCTTACATTCTTCGCATAGAGCATCCCGGAGACAACGGCAAAGAGCACTGCGGATACCAAATCGAGCAGTGCAATGGAATAGGCGCACAGCACTAAATATCCATCAGACTTCGACGACTCCATCGCATCGCCCTAGCAGAAAGTTCATCAGAGCACTGGCAGGCAATGTTGTTGTCTACTAAATCAAAGCTATAATGATGATAAGCACGTACTTCCCTCCCAAGCACACACACACACACACACACACAACCACACAGTCAAGAACCAGAACGAGAAACAGAACCAGAACCAGAGCCCTGGCTGTTAATCAATGCCGTTTGATTGCCAAAAGTCCTCGGCCTGTGGCACAGTGGTCTCCACACCGATAGACTTGTAGCCATGTGAACCCATTTTCATTCTTGTAATTATCTTTATGGTTCTCCATCCCATAAAGAATAATCTTGCTTCCCGTATGGTTACACAGCTGTAAATAGTAATGCATTCTGGAATCCCAAAACAATCAATACCAATGTGATTTGACTCCGCCCCCAGCCCCCAGCCTCCAGACCACCACTGACTATGTGACAAGTTTGTGTGAACATCTGTCCGTCCTTCATTTATGGCATTTGTTTTGTCAGCAAGCCTTGGAGATTGGATTCTTGTCCCCATGGGGGAGGGGCAACGGGGGTGGTTGGGGGCAACGTGACTACCAGGCTGAAGACGGCCGCCGAACAGGCCACAAAAAATATGTACCAACATATGTATATAGAGAGCTACGTAAGTCAATTATTATTATTGTTTGTAGCTCGTCGGCTCGAAGACGAAGAAGAGAATTGATTTCCACATCCATCCCCCACTTGACCAGTAAATTGAGACCCCACCCCAACTGCATGCAATTTTGTTGCAAAGATTTTTAACGGGGAGGTCTGTTGTATACAAAATATATATATCGGTCCCTAATACTGCTTTCCTGCTTAGCGCTTCGTATCTGTAGCTGGATATGATGTCGTTTCGCTTTGCAGAGCCGGAGACTTCGGGACGTACCGTTTACGACGTTTGGGTCTCGAAGCGGAGTCTTTGGGTCTCGAAGCGGAGTCTGTGGATCTCGAAGCGGAGTCGTCGTTCTCTTTGCGATTCAATCTTTGATAGTAACTGTAAACCAAATACAGACCAGTGCACTCGAGAACTGTAATTAATGCGGATAGATAATTACTCTTTAGTTGATATGCTTTGTATACCTATGCCACAGTAGAGGATGGTCCACCGGAGGAAATGGGCCAAGTCGAAAGTAAGGGACGCTGTCACATTCCAAACCATATACACAATATCCGTGATAGTACCGATTCCCGAGAAGAAAAACCAAAATATAAAAAGCATCGGTCTTTCCTTGAGTGGGTTGTAGTGTGTGAGAGTAAGAGATCAAATTGGAACAGTCTTGTGTAACATTTACCTTCCATAGACCCACAGAGAGTGCGACAACAGTCAGAACCCAAACGTTGGTTCCCAGGAAAGCCATTATGGTATATAGGTTCGTCTGCATAGGAAAGATGAAGAATATAACGATACAATTGGACTATCTGACTGTAACTTACGTACGATATCAACAAGTAGGCGGTGTCCAGCAAAAAGTACAGTGAATGAAGCGCTTCAAATGCGGCAATCGCGTAACAAACTATCTTCAGATAGTCTCTCTGCTCTTTTATGGGCTGGTCTGCCATATTTTGCCTTTCAGTTCGGAATTTTTGGAATGTATACAAAATATAAATATTTTATTTGGAATTGGAACACAAGGCCAACCAAGCAACAAGGAAATAATGACAAACAAAACGAAGAAGGCAACGAATCATTTCTTCCCTTTCTTCTTTGCGTCCGCTTTCTTTTTTGCGTCGGCTTTCTTCTTGTCCTGCGCCTTCTTCTTCTCCTTGGCTTTCTTCTCCTTTGCCTTCTTTTTGTCATCCGGTTTCATCTTTTCACTTCCACTCTTCGTCTTCCTGTCGGTGCTTTTTTTACTGCCCCCGGATTTACAACCTATTCAAGTGGTCGATGAAACTTATTACAGAAAATTTTCATAAGCTCCGAATCTATGTACATCCTTACATCCCGTTTCGGCTTCCTTCGACCCCGCGCTACCCTCCATTAGCAAATAATATCGATATATGAAATAAATGCAGGTAAATTCCACAACTGAAATGGGGTACAATTATCTTAGGGATCGAAAGTCCTCGTATATCAACTTACGTATGCCAATAAATATGATCGTGAACTCCGTAAGGTGATCCCAGTCCACAGTTATGGAACTTGTTATGCCCCACAACAGAAATAATATGTCCATAACGAAACCCACTCCAGAAAATAGTATCCACGCCCGGACAAACGCTGGACGACGCTGTAGAACGTATAAATCGTAATCATCCATTCTCAGGGCATAGTATGGTATGTCTCAAAGAATTATACAAACCTTCCACAGGCCCACCAGCAGGACGATAACCACCAAAACCCAGAATATTGTGCCAGCCAAGGCGAGGCTTGAAACGATGTGAAACTACGAGTAGTAATGGCAGAATTTTTAAGAACGGATGCGATACACAGATACATTTGCCAAATACTCACGCGCACAACCAGCAGAATTGTGGCCTGCACTGCAAAATACAGGGCATGAATCAGATCGCTTATGGCTATACAGTAGCATATTTTCAGCAGATTCCTTTCAATAGCAACTATTAGTGGGTTGGTAGACGGTTTCTTTTTGTTTTTACGGCTGCTTTCTTGTTTCTTTGCGTCCTTTTTCGGAGGGGGTTTCTTCGGTTTCTTTTTGTCTTTGTCTTTTGCCATGATTTACGTAAAAAACAAAATTGTTGTACGTCGGACGATCATTTTAACAAAGCACCTGAGATTTCAAAGCTACATTTATTTATTGGCTTACAATTCACAACAGCCTTTTTAAATTCGAATTCAGCCGCCTTAAAACTGTAATCAGCTGGCAGGAGTTGCTATATGAAAAATAGAGATTTTCGATATACATATGTGTATATCGAAAAACTAACGTTATTTAAATGTGTCGCTACGATGTACAAAAAAGACATTTTTGTTTACCTTTTTCTTTAAAAATTATTTTAGATTCAATAAAATAAAGGAAGTACTTAAAATCTGCCAATATTGCAGAAAATTGATTCATTTATCGGCTGAATGTCCTAGCAAGCTGTTAATATTAAATCGAATATAAAAATCGAGAAATATGAATAAATCGTCGTTATATTTACGGTATGTATATTTCGATATATATCTGAGGGTCAGATCGGGATTTTATCTCTTTTTCGTGGTGAGATATCCTCTCTATGTGGAGGGATATCCTCTCTTCGTAGAGTGATTTTTCATCGCAACAATTTCCCTGCAACAATGAGTCTCGTTCCAATACATATGTACGTTGGCAGCATCAAATCTTTATAGCCCGGACACATGTGCCGAAAATGGAGCAACATTCTGCATACCCTAGGGAAGAGGATATAAAAATGAGGATATGTTTGTCATCTCAGGCTCCAATTAATGCAGAATCTAGTCTGTCTCTGTTTTAAAGCTATTTCAAAGACATTTTTCTGTTACTGGTATTCTTACAGAGACCAAGAATAGGGATCGAGATATTTATGCGGGAAAATAATCATCATAATCAAATAGGTCTAAAACATGTCATCCTGAGAAAAAGTCCTCGGTAATTCTTCAAATCAGCTTTAAAAACAGTAATTTAAAATTAATTAAAGGAAACATGGGTATTAACATGTCCATACTCATACACACCTACGTTACATTCCATACCACTTACGTTTTATGCTTTGACCTTTTTTATTCAACCCTTATTTTATAAACGGTCCAATAAAAGCGAATATTTAAAATTAGCCAATATTGTAGAAAATTGATTAATTTATCGGATACAATTATAGGTCTAGGACTGAAGCTCTTAGCTAGGTTGTAATATTAAACTGAATATCAAAATCGAGGAATATGATTTGCGATCATGGACAGAGTACAATTAACCCGTTGTGAACCGAGGGTACTCAAACATTCTCCACGAATATTCTAAAACTTTAGGAATTTAATCGCAGCTTAGGTAAAAGACATCGAGGCCTTTTTTTAAGTAAATATTAAAGATAGGACGGACCTACAAGAGTAATTAATCTTATTATTAGTATTATTTTACGCAATTTAGCTTAAGTTGTTATCCTTTTTAAATAAAGAGCTTCCTAAGTTCGTTTTTCATCGGTATATTTTCGGTATATTTTGAAAATGAGACGGTATATTTTCCTGGTACAGACGGTATATTTTGCCGCTAAATTCGCGAAACTCAACCCTGGTTGCAGGCCGATTATTTACAAAAAACAATTTTTTTAGTTTTAAGTTAATTAGACACTCTAGCAGCAACATGCCCATCTTGGTAAAAACGTGAGTATCTTAAAACTATATTATCCTTAGGATCTACTGTTAAGTTTGAGAAAATACGCGTGAAGAAAGAAGAACGATGAAGCGGCACTCAATGCCCCAGAGTTGTCACCCTTTTGTGAGGCATTGTCAGCCGAGTTTTGGCAGTCGCAGTGTCGGGTTCTTGCGAAATTTTTTAATTTTTTTTAAATGGGGCCGCCAAAAAAGTCTAAAAAAGATCGTAGTGGTGGCGACAAGTCAAGTGAGTACGGGACACTACGAAGAAGGTACAATTTCGGTATATTTATGCGAAATTTACAGGCAAGAAGCGCCGCGCTGAGGATGAGGCTTTCACTCAGCTAGTAGAGGACAATGACAGCCTGGATGCCACTGAGTCGGACGGTATACCGGGTGCAGCCTCCAAGAATGCTGAAACCAATGATGAACAGGTCAACACGGATGAGTACGGAGCCAAAGACTATCGGGGGCAGATGCAGCTGCGTCCAGATCACGGCAATCGCCCGCTGTGGGTGGCTCCCAATGGCCATGTGTTTCTTGAATCCTTCTCGCCGGTCTACAAGCATGCCCATGACTTTCTCATTGCCATCTCGGAGCCCGTCTGCCGTCCCGAGCACATCCACGAGTACAAGCTGACTGCGTACAGTCTATACGCCGCTGTCTCTGTGGGCCTGCAAACGCATGACATTGTCGAGTATCTTAAACGCCTGAGCAAGACAAGTATTCCCGAGGGCATCCTAGAGTTTATTCGTCTGTGTACGCTCTCCTACGGCAAGGTAAAGTTGGTTCTGAAGCACAACAAATATTTCATCGAGTCCCCGCATCCGGAGGTGCTTCAGAAGCTGCTCAAAGATCCAGTTATACAAAAATGTCGCCTCATACGCAGCGAAGGCGAGGGCTTTATTCAGGGCACAGTGGATAGCAAGGCGATCACTCAGTTTGGGACAAAACTACCACCTGGAGCAGATGATAAGGCAACAGAGGATCCGGCAGGTGCAGCTGCTGCCGCTGCTGATGGTGCAGCCGTTGTGCCAGACGATATTACCGACTTCTACGAGAAGATCGACAAGGAGGAGGAGGACGAGGATGAAGCAAATCTGAAAACTGTCTCGTTTGAGGTATCCCAGGAGAAAATCGAAGTTATCCAGAAGCGCTGCATTGAGATCGAGCATCCTCTGCTGGCTGAATATGATTTCCGCAATGATACCAACAATCCGGATATTAACATTGACTTGAAGCCCGCTGCCGTCTTGCGCCCCTACCAGGAAAAGAGTCTGCGTAAGATGTTCGGCAACGGACGTGCCCGTTCGGGAGTTATCGTATTGCCCTGTGGTGCCGGAAAATCTCTGGTGGGTGTCACGGCCTGCTGCACAGTTCGCAAGCGAGCCCTTGTACTGTGTAACAGTGGTGTTTCAGTGGAGCAATGGAAACAACAGTTTAAGATGTGGTCTACAGCGGATGATAGCATGATCTGCCGCTTCACCTCGGAGGCAAAGGATAAGCCCATGGGATGTGGCATTTTGGTAACCACATATTCCATGATCACACACACGCAGAAACGCTCCTGGGAAGCGGAGCAGACAATGCGCTGGCTGCAGGAACAGGAATGGGGTATTATGGTACTGGACGAGGTCCACACCATTCCAGCCAAGATGTTCCGTCGTGTGCTAACCATTGTCCAATCCCATTGCAAGCTGGGCTTGACGGCCACCCTGCTTCGCGAGGATGACAAGATTGCTGATCTGAACTTCCTCATTGGGCCCAAGTTGTACGAGGCCAACTGGTTGGAGTTACAGAAAAAGGGCTATATTGCTCGTGTGCAGTGCGCCGAGGTCTGGTGCCCCATGTCGCCAGAGTTCTATCGCGAGTATCTGACCACAAAAACGTCCAAAAAGATGCTGCTGTATGTCATGAATCCTTCCAAGTTCCGCAGCTGTCAGTTCCTCATTAAATACCACGAGCAAAGAGGCGATAAAACTATTGTCTTCTCTGACAATGTATTTGCGCTCAAGCACTATGCCATCAAGATGAACAAGCCCTTCATCTATGGCCCAACCTCGCAGAATGAGCGTATCCAGATTCTGCAAAACTTTAAGTTCAATTCCAAGGTCTGTTATGTTAGTGAGATCCGAGTCAAATTGTTAAATCAAATAATGTCTTCCTGCGCAGGTCAACACAATCTTCGTGTCGAAAGTGGCCGACACCAGTTTTGATCTTCCCGAGGCCAATGTGCTCGTCCAAATCTCCTCGCATGGTGGCTCCCGACGTCAGGAAGCTCAGCGTTTGGGTCGTATTCTTCGCGCCAAAAAGGGCGCCATTGCTGAGGAGTACAACGCCTTCTTCTACACACTCGTCTCGCAGGACACCATGGAGATGAGCTACTCCCGGAAGCGTCAACGTTTCCTTGTCAATCAGGGCTACAGCTACAAGGTTATTACTCATCTCAAAGGCATGGACACGGATACGAACTTGATGTACGGCTTGCAGGAAGAACAGGCGCAGCTTCTGCAGCTAGTCCTCTCTGCCTCCGATTTGGATTGCGAGGATGAGAAGCTGCCGGGCGAGCCTGGCTACCGTCCAGGCGGCACAACGAAACGGGCCGGTGGGCTCAGCTCCATGTCAGGCGGCGATGATGCCATTTACTATGAACATCGTCGGAAGAACGTTGGAAGTGTTCATCCTTTGTTCAAGAAGTTTAGAGGATAGATTTAAGAATTTTGTGAACCGCTGTGAAGCTTAAATACAATTCTAAGTAACCAGATACGATGTTTTCTTTGAAGTCTTTCGGGTTATTATACCCGGTACTCGAAGAGTTGAGGGATATATTAGTTTTGTGGTGGATGTGTGTAACACCCAGAAGGAACTGTTCCGACCCCATAAACTATAAATATTCTTGATCAACATCAATAGCCGAGTCGATATAGCCATGTCTGTCCGTCCGTCTTGATTATCTCCTAGATCTCAAAGAGTTAGAGCAACCAAATTTTGTATATCCCACTGCCACAAGTGTCTTTCAAAGGGACGAAAAGCTGTGTCATCCACAATTTTGAAGGAACGAAACAACCGAAGGGGCAGAACCATAGAAAATTACGATATCTACCACATTGACGAATCTGGTTAATATCGGATCATGGTTATAACTAGAATTCCGCCTTCCACGCTCTTACTCTTTCTCGCTCTCTCGCTCTCGGTCTTTCACACTCTTCCTCGTGCAGTCTGTGCCCCCTCGAGGAGGTGAGCGAGATAGCAACACAGCTGGTGTTGGTGTGAGAAGAAAGAGAGCGATACAGCAGAAAAATGGAAAAAGATAAAATAAAGATAAAGAGGATAAAGTTAGTGCAACGCACAACCTTTCACAACATAATCGCAGCATCGCTTTAACCATTCGAATATTGTTTCATTTTAGACAAAGTTCTGGGACTGGTGATTGGGCCATTATTGAGCTGCAAGGCGATCTGGAAGTAAGAAGCAATCAGGATATGCATGACCAGTTCATTGGCGATCTCTACTACAACAAATATGGTCAACCGGTGCGTACCAGTCTCTTGGGCCATCCACATGATTTGCTAATTCTTAAACTCATTGACAGATTCTCATAATAGGCCACCACATACTGCAAGGACGCGAACAGAAACTTGAGAAGCCATTCGCGGTGCTGGAAAAATCAAAATCCAACGAAGGACAGCGCCTCTTGGACACCAGCATTGCCACGCAAGATGTCAGCCTTTTAAATGCCACTTCTGGGGCGGAACGAACAGTCCTGGATCACACCATTGCCCAGGAGCACAAGAGTCGCCAGCGTACAGAGTATACAGTGCGGGCCGTGTGCACCAAAAAGCTGATCTTCAAATCACGACCCAAACCCATTATTGCCAATGTGGCCAAGACTGTATGAGTGCTTAATAGATAGAACATTTATTTGTCCTTTATAATTATACGATTACGTAGTTATGGTTCGTCCCTCTATTAAACGATTTCCATTTCACGTTCGATGCCAACAAACTTCAATTGCTCTGTGGGTCCGTATCTGTAGTCAAAGAAGAGCTCCTCGCCGGGCTGAATTGCTCGCTTGGCAAAGATGCCAATGCGATGATCGCCGGTGACCATCATTACCTTGGCATAACAATTGGGATTTATGGAATGATTGGCGAAGCGTATTTTGTTGCCCTTGCGTGTGGCGTCCACAACAAAGTCGTTGTTCAAATTGAACAGAAAAGAGCACATATACTTGTCATAGACCTTGCCACGACGATCAGCCTCGTCTTGGGAGATGATCTCGCCGCAGTACTCGGAAATGAATTCATTCTTCTGTGCACCCTCTTTCAGAAAGATGCCCCAACCAGCAATGTCCGATGGGGCCATCAGCAAGTGTTTGTCTAAAGGGAGGTGTACCATTTAGGCGATTGGAAGTCTTTCAAATAAACAAATAACACTTACGGAGGCCGCGCTGCACACACACATTCTTGCACGTAATCTTCTGCAGCTTGAATTCGTTAGCGCCGCATGCATTACACAGATCCGGATCACACTCACGAACAGCAAGATAGCAGGGGCACTGCTTGGTGTTGCACTGAGCCTTGCAGCGGCATCCAGGGAAACGGTTCTGGCATTCGGTGGTACAGTTGCAGAACTTCTCACAAAAGTTCTGCGTCTGTATGCAGGAGCAGTTTACGTCGCAGGGACCGGCGTGGTCGCAGGGCGTATAATTGTAAACGTGATTCGATGACGAGTCCTTCTTCAGTTGAATCTTTCGACAATGAAGCGACCACAGACGTTGCTTCTTCTTCTTCTTGCGGGGCGGAGTATAGTCGAGCAGCAAGTCGTCAATGCTGAACTCGGCGTCGTCCTTCTGGGCAAACTCGTACACCTGACGACAGGTCTTGGTGAGCATATTGTGGGCAATGGCGCAATAGTTCCTCAAATACACTTTATGCAGGACACGAAAGAGGGCTTGATCGGCCCCCGTCCAGACGCACTGCGTGCTGTCAATGTTCATCATACCAGCTGCGTGAGGAGATTGCTAATTGATTTCGGGGACACAAAACACACTCATCCAACTGATTGCATACCCATAATGGAATTAACCTCTTCCTCGGCCACGCAGTTAACGGTGGGGCCATTATCCTTGGTGTTCTCATTGCTGAAGTCCTTGCTGCTGAACTGGCTGTTGCTGTCATTGCTGTCTTCAGAACTGGCCTCATTGCACGAGTCAATGGGAGGCGTTTTGCTGTCAGCCGCCAGCTTCTCCTTCATGCCATCCTGCGAAATCACTCAATAAGCATTACTGTAAATACTACATGGAAACTTGTATCGCTAGAAACTTACGATTAGCATATAGCAGGAGTTGCTGCACGGATCAGCAAATGTCTTCATTTCTTCAAAGACGCGCTTCTGCAGATTGGGACCCGCATGGTTTTGCAGACCTGTTGAAAGAGATCATAGAGATTAGCACGACCTTCATCGAGTATCCACACTCATTACAACATGTCCATGAAACGCTTTTGGAGTTAGCATGAGGGTAATCGTTATTTTTGTTCGAAAAGAGAGAGAAATGTTCAAGGCAAAGCCACACAGGTATGAGGTGAGAAGACACCAAGAAATCAATTTTGATACAAGACATATTCGGCCAATTTTTCCACAGAAAATACATACGAGTATATGCAGATATACAGATATATATATAGACAGATAGATGATGATGTGGAGGCGTGGACGAGCTAACGGCATGAGTGTGTGTGCGTGTGGTTATCGAAACAACAACTACAACAACGACTCACCCTGGACATGGTGACCTAAATTGCAATTTGTTTTCAGTACAATTTTACAAAAATGTATTTTTTTTGTGGTTTGGGAATAGAATATTTGTTTTGTTTTGCGCAAAAATTTTGTTGTTTTTGCAAAAAGGAAAAGAAATAGCAAAAACAAAACGTAAAGTTATTAAGTAACCCAGTTGACAGCGGGTTTAACCCATGGTTCAACTTACGATGGAGGAAACAATCGTATTTGAAGCAGCGCCGGCAGAAGAGCGTGTGGAAGGAGTGCATGGTGCGCTCCCGGGAAACGCTCTCGGCCTTCATGCCATCAATGTTCGGTGTGCACTCCTGCGGACGCTCTGGATCCTGGTGCTCGGTGAGCTCAATATACCTGTTAAAGATTTGCTTGTAATCGTGTAATATTCAGAGCCCTTCCAGGTCGCACTCACTTCTCCTTCAGTTCCTGTGCTGTGCCCTTGTCAGGGAAATTGGCGCTGATAGCCTGAAATATAATTGGAGCCGGGAAGGGAAGCTTTTCCTTCACCTCCTCCACAGCGGGCTTTACGTCCACAGCAGCCTCAGCTCCCGATGGCTCTTCCTTCTTCTCGTCAGTGGAGTCTTCTTTTTTCTCATCCACTTTAACATCCACTTTTATCTCCTCATCGTCCCCCTCTTTTGCCTCCTTGGGTTTCACCGCTGTCTCTGCTTTTGCCGAAGTGCTTGGAGCAGGCTCCTCCAACTCCTTGCTGTGGGAACGCATCAGCGCATGCACCAGCTCAACAAAGATGGCATCGTCCATGAAGGAAGGATCTTTGTCTCCATGCACTTTTCCGTCGTAGTTCTTTATCAGCTCCTCGATGAACTTGCCATCCTTGTCCAGCACCTCATCGCCCATATAGGGTATGTTGTGGAGCACTGTCTCGTCCTCGACCATGAAGTTCTGCTGAGTGGGTGCCCACGTATACATGGTGGGTATGGGAGTCACGGCATTGATCACACAAATGGGCACTCGCTGAGGCCCACTGGGGTTGCCGCTATAGCTGGTTATTTCGGCCCGCTTCACGCATCCCACATGCGGGGGCTCGTACGGCTTGGCCTGCCACACCTTCGACTCGCAGTACAGATCCTGAACATTGTGATTGTGCTCGTCCCTAATGGATTGAAAGTCGTATTATTTCCAGACATCTCCTTGCCATAGCAGCGCCACATTCCCGCGCTTACCAGTTCTTTATCCACGCCTCTTTTATTTCGTCTGCGCGCTTGTGCCGCTTTTGCTGCCGTATTTTAAAGTACTCCGACTTGACGCGGCGCTTCCACTCTGGCGGCACCTTGGCGTTGCTCATTCTTTTAGCAAGTTTCAATAAATAGATTGAAATCAAGCAAAATTAGCGAAAATTGTATGATTTAATTCGCGGCGGACCGCCTTTTTCTTTTCTGGCTTCGAGTGTGACCAGTTGTTAATCGAAAAGTGTTGGAAGACGGGGGCAAGAGACAGTGCTGGCAAACGGGAAAGGTCATCAAAAACATAAAAAGAAAATACTATGTAAATCCTGTCAAAATCTATGCAACTACACACAATTACACAAAATTCTATAAGCTGGACAAATTTAAACTCATCAAATCGGCCACGAGCATTGAGGAAATTGCTGCAATGGAACCGTCCGCTTGCGAAGGCGAGTTGGAGCCCACCCCAAAGGAAGGCACGCCGCGCTGACTATGTTTACTAATTTTTGGTTGTTGCTATTTTTATATGTCCTTTGCAGACCTGAAGGCTTTCGAACGACGACTCACCGAAGTGGTTCTCTCGTACAGACCTCCGACGTTCCGATGGCGCAGTAAGTGAAGCTCTTTTTTGGGCGGAAACACCGGTAATAACAGCAGAACCTTTTCCAGTTCTACTGTCCGCCATGTCGATGTGCACGGCCATCGGGGCCTGGTACTGGCTGAGGGATCCACGCACCACAGTTGTGCCTCTGACGGAATCCCTCTGGATACACCCAATCTTCACAGCGGCCACAGTAACCTTAAGTAAGAGCAGCCACTTGGCCGAGCATTGTGCATATACCCACGCAGAGCACCCATTAACAACAATGCGTATCGCCCTGGCTTCTCCAGTTGTACTCTTTATTTTAGGCATACAAAAGTTGGTGATAGCGCCGCAGATCATCACGTCGCGCACGCGTAATGTGCTGGGAGACTTCAACATGAGCTGCGATGACACGGGGAAGCTGATATTGAAGCCCCGCCAAAGCAACAACAACAGCACATGAGTCACCGACCGCTACGAAGACAATCAATTAGTTAATGCATCCAAAAACTATCTAAATAACTTTCCTCCATGCCTATTTTGTTCCGGACACTCTTGTTTTATTCACGAAATTTTAGCCTATCTATCCCCCTGGCCCCACACTACTCCCATTTTCGTTTAGTTATATAAAATTCATTCTAAAAACAAAAAGATTACTGTTAAGCTTTATGTGTTTCGTTATGGCGTTACGTTACCCTTCGCTGCCAAATATCAAAAAAAAAAAAAAGAAAAAATAAGTCAAGCTGCATTCAAAACCAATTACCATTATATTGAAGTATTGCCTCTGGGCAGCTTGCTGGTTGTGCAATGGCAAGTGTTTTTTGCAAATTAGAATTAAGAGCCGGACGGAGTATAAATAGTGGAGGCCAGATCACTCCAGGGCATCAGAAGCAATCTGTACACCAAGCCAACATGAAATTCGTTCTCTTGTGCACCCTCCTCCTGAGCATTGCCTTGATCATGGCTTCAGGCAAGGATCACAGCGGGTAATATTCGGGATCAGATCCAACTAAGCCGGTTCTTCCTCCCATACTTACAGCTCAACTGGACAATGAGGACATGGAGCTGTATCCGCAGCACAATGACCACCACAAGGATCGCTCGGTCCGCAGCCTGACACCTGAAGAACTACCCGGCCAAGGCGATACAGGCAAGACGGGGGATGTGGTCGGCTGCTGCGGCTAAGTCGATGGCAGATTAGGGCGTGCCAGAGTCTGTTGTAATGGACCATCGAGCCCCTTTAAATTGAAATAAAGAGCAATATTGAAAAATACACATGATCCGAGTTTTGAATGTTATACTGGCACTGAGAGAAAGGGGAGAAAGGGAAGAAAACAATCCTTCGTCGTCTGGTTGATCTTGCGTGATATTTATTTTGATTCAGCATTCTCTATAGTTCTTTTCACTTTCGTTCTGCCCTTATCGCATACATATATAAATCTTTTATCTTTATTTAGTTTTTATTTTTTAGTTTTGTGTGATTTGCTCATTCTTTTTTGGTACAAATTGTATGCGTTAAGTTTTGCCATTTCATTCATTTCGTTTATGTCTATTTTGTAAATCTTAAAAAGTATTATTATTGCGCAGCTTTTGTCTCTATCATTGTATCATGAATTTTGTAATTTGTAGATTTGTTTTTTTTTTTTTGTTTTTTGTTTTTTTTTTCAAATAGTACGTTTATCAAAGTTGACGGCGTGGAAATACTCAGTATATAAATGCATCTGCTTTCTGCTTGTGTGGTTCAGTTTTGGTAGGCATTCATTATGTTTAGAATAGTAATCAATTAATTTATGAATTATTTGTATCTTTACACTTGGTTCTACTCTCTCGCATCGCACATCTACTCGTATCGTATATATCCTTTTTATCTCTCGCTCGTACATCATGCACAAAAAAAATACTCTAGATTTGATTTAAAAGATTTCCTTCTTTCCCTTTTATATTTATATAATCTCTGCTTTCTTTTGTAGTGAAATTTAGGATTTATCTCATACCATACATCGGTTTAAACTTTGCGCTAATTTGTCGTTAGATTAATAGGGTTCGCGGTTCTTCATTGCTTAACATTAGTGCTAGATTATTAACTAAATATTGTTGCTGTTCTTGTTGTTGTTGTTGTTTTTGTTGCTGCTGCTGATGCTTCTGCTGCTGCTGATATTTACGTCCGAGTCCGTCGTCGTCACGTTGCGGGAGGCACGCTAAAGCATTACGAAACACAGATTACAATACGGAAAAAATACACGTGCTCGAAATGCATACATAATTAAACAAAAAAAAATAATAAAACTAGAGGCTGCCTCCTGGTTGCACAACATTCGCATCGCACACACAATCTTTACAAATAATACAGAAGCCTAGTGTAATTACATAAATAAAACCTTTAAATCAATACAAATACAAATACAAATAAAAATACAAATTAACGTTAATGAACTCTTTCTCTCTGCATCTATCCTATCCCCCCCGCCGATATTATGCAGCCAGCATATTGCGTATGTTCTTCGGCGTGTTCTCCTCGTTCAGATGCTTCGTCGTGTAGCGCAGGGCATTGAGCAGTGGCTCCGCCTTGATGGCTGGCTGGGCCTGCAGCAGTCGCACACAGCCCTTCACATCCACGTGGGCGCCGCGCACGAATGCCCCAACTGGATGCACGTGATCGTAGAGTATGACCAGGCCAACCATCACACGCAGCACCAGCATTTTCGTATCTTCCCGCTCGATCTGTTGCAGCAGTTTCCTACAGCAAATACAAATGGCATTAGTTTCGAAATAGCAGCAAGCAGCAAACAATTCGTGATCTGATGTGATACTTACGGATTCTCCAGCATTCTGAGGCACACCTTGGCCATGGTGCCCAGTGTTTCCGTTGTGTTTTGGACATCGTCGGCATTGTCGTTAACAAACTTCGATGTCGCCTCGCTCAGCACCTTGAGCATGGGCGTGGCATGGGCATAGAAGAGGGACATGCGATTGGCCAGCTCCGTGCTGACCATCATGTTCTCCGTGGAGTCCACCCGCTGGCGGCTCACGATGCGTCTGTAGTAGCTGAAATCATTCTGTATGGCGGGTGTTTTCATCTGTAAATAGGATCACGGAAAGCAAAACATTTTTTAAACTCAGTACAGATGAGACGTAATTCGATTGGGGTGGTTTTATTAAATGTGTTTACAGGAAAATGGGTAAAATGGATAAGTAAATACAAAGTTCCCCAAGAAAAAACCAGATTCTAAATGTTCAATTTAAATAAATGTGTCATAGCAGTCGGCTTTCCGTCTTCGATGGGACTGCGGCCCCGAGTTTTGAAGCACTTGCCCAGTGTCTGCGTTGCGATGAAACGTTTTCCAGCACTTGTCCTTGTTTGCCTCTAATTACGGTTGAGACTTTAAAATCTAATTGCTGTACGTGACACCTCAATTTACCCGTTGTCCGGGCACCTGGCGACTCCGTAGTTTTCCCCGATTCCACAGCCAGGCCCAAAAACACTTAAGTTGTCAGGGCTGCATATTGCGAGCCGTGCGTGAGAAAATAACTTCAGAGAGCCGAGCCGCCGCCATGCCACGAATTTCTGAGTCAAGTCGCTGCCTGGGCTGGCTGTTGTGGCGTTGCTCATCCATCCAGTCACCTTGACAGAGGCGCTGCTCGAAACATGCATTAGTTTTGTATACTATATGGCGAAACTTTATATAAATACGTTATTAGCATAAATCGTTCTGAACAGTCACAAATGATGCGGCGACCAGGACAGATCCACAGCCACAGCAGCAGCCCCAGCAGCAGCAGCATCATCCGCTGGGTGAGTGCTTACAATATACACACATTCTTTTGTTACATTTTCCCCCGGGTTGAGAAAATAAAACTACAAATGTTGTATACTAAACAGACGGAAAATTTAGGTGTTGTTTCGAACAAATCTGAACCGAGACTGAATATTTTCAATAATATAATCCGGCATAACAAAAATAGTCAGCCTGCTAGATCTCCATTCGCAAGATTATATATATATATAGATGATTAATCGTTTAATGATTCTCACAGCACCTATCTGCATCGCTTCTACTGATGATAAATGCAATCTGTGTAACAAGTCAATATGCATCACCTTATGGCAGCAGCAGTCAGGCTTATGGCTACAATCTGCCACCACAACAACAACAACAACAACAACAGCAGGAAAATGCTTATGCAACTCCCCAGCAGCTGAACTACGCCCAACAATATCCCGCCGTCCCAGCAGCAGCAGTGCAATCTCTGTGGTCTGGAGCTCCCATTGTAGTCAATGACAATCTATATAGCGCGAACAGCAATCTGGGACAGGAACAACTGGAGCAGCAACGTTATGTCACCATCAACGGCTATTACGGAGAGGATTACCCCGGGCGACAGTACACACAATTTCCCAATTGGCGCTACAACAATCCCGAGAGGCAGAGGAAGGAACCAGAGGTACCGCCACCGCCGACACGTGCAGTCAATCACAACTACAACAATGTGCCTGGCTATGTGTACTACCAGCAACAGGAGCCTCCAGTTCAGCCAAGGATCCAGCCTACAGTTCAGCCACGGCTTCTGCCGGAGTATAAGCCCCAGTTTAGACCCGAGTTGGACTCCAGCGAAGCCCGCCGCGAGGAGGAGCAAGTGGTCCACATTGGCGGCAGTCGCTCTTTGGCCGGAAACAACTATAACTACAACTACAAGCACAATGACAATGACAATCAGAACTACTTTGAGCTAGCACAGCCCTGGCGTCGACGTAATTTTGAGTCGACATATGCGGAGCACTTTTCCAATTACCTCCGCAAATATCCGCAGCGCCTGCAGCCGGTCTACAGCACGGGCGAAAACTTCGATGACAAATGAGTGCTGCGATTATCTAGTTATCTAGTTTTATGGCATATAATAAATCCCATCAAATTTTGTATTCCCTTTTCTGTCAAATACTCCGGAAATTGGTATTCCTTTGGCCAAAAGGACTTGGCTGACTAACCGGCTGCCGAGCGATCGGCGATCGGTCCGACAGGCCACAGAAGTTCGCTCCAGGAAGCCCATGGAGTGGCTTCAGTCCTGCTGTGTGCAACATTCCCTCGATGCTGCTGTCGTAGGCCAACGACTGCCCCTCTCCTGTTTGTTTGGTCGAATGACTCCAATAAAGCATGTCGTTAAAATGAAGCCAGTTACAAGTGAAGTCAATAAATATTGCAGCATACTTTGCCGCTGCACGGGAGACAATGAAAACCGGAGAACAGAGCCCCAGAGCCGCAGAGCCGCAGAGTCGCCAGAGACAATGGGTTTCTATAGAGAAACGGAAGTAGCTGTTAGTTAGAAGGCACGTTTGAGCTATATACACACACTTTTACAGTCGAGTATCTGTGTTCAAGTGCATCTGACACTTTGGCCACACAATGAACGTGCAGTTTGCAGCATTTAACATCATCAACAGCATCATCATCATCATCATCATCAGCAACATCATCGCTTCCCATCAAGAGCCAGGAAAGTGGTAGACATCAGAGGGAACAAGCCGACGACTACGACTACGACTCCGACAAGGAGAATGACTTTGCGGGTCCCTCCCCATCCCCATCCACAACCAAATCGATTTGAGGAAAAGTTTTGCACAAGCGGAAACGAGCCATGGGAAATGCGGCGACTCACAGAGATTTTCC